TTAAAATCCTGAAATCCTATACCTCATGCGCACAGTTTTATGATAATCCAAACTTAAGTGAGTAACTATTATTTGCACTACACACTCTTAAACATTACCTAGAATCTTACTACTACGTTACGTTACGTTACGTTACTAACAGAGTACATACGTACGTACACGTAGTGCGTCACACCTTCACACACACAACCTGAAACTGGAAAACTTCACAAAAAAAAAAGGGGGGAAAATACAATCATGGAAATGTGGTATGATCTCTGTTATTAAAATAAAAAATTAACTTTACGGGTTAAAAAACTAATAGACTCTCCTGAACTACTCATACAAATTGTTACAACACAGGACTGCCAGTGTTGTAAGTGAGTTCTACTGCAGTCATTGCTGACAAGGTCCTGTGGAAATATTACATTATTTAAATTAAGTAAAAATGGCATGATATATATATACACACCTTGATATTTACAATAAGTGTTTACTTACTGACACAACATGCTTATATAAGTTACAAAATTCCTATACTCGTACAACAAAACTTAAATTCTGTTTAAATTTTTTTTTCACATTATTATGTGCATATTTACAAAGGTTTATACAAATTTATTCAATTTTATCCTACATAATTTCATAGTTTGGCAGGTAGTAAAACCCCTTGTTTTTTATATAAATGACCAAACTGATGTACTTCTGTTATCTTATATTCCTCAGAGAGTAGGTGCATCCACCTGTCTCCCTAAAAATTGGTGTATTACAAATATGACATCCGGCCATCATCCTGGCAAAAACCCGTTTGATTGTTTCTCATTTCACTTTCTCCCAGACTTATACTGTATGAAATGGGCTCTGTAGCAGTCTTGTACATCTCCTTTTTTTAAGGATTGATGGCACAAGTGACCTTCAACTTGTGGAAAAATAAAGCCAGCCACTGATATCCTCTTTTTCATCTTCTTACATCAGCCTTATATTCCTTTGTCTTTTATCAACACCTTCTGTCTCATCTTTTATATGTCTCACTCAAATGTTGTATTTTGTCGTTTCTTCTCTTATTTTTATAATATGGTGTCTTGCTCTTTTGGGGTTTTTGCAGATGCTTGGAATCATATTTATTTCCGGCATCAGTTTTCTGGTCTGTTACATCCTTCATATTAACTTTTGTGAACTGCCTTCATTCTTTCACTACCTTTTATAATTTACATAATTTAAATGTGACCTTACTTCCTTTTAAATGCTCTGTATCTATTTACTTCAGCACAAAGTCTATCAATAAAATCTTTCATTCTTCTAAAAATACAATTTTTGCTATTTTTCTTCCATCTACCATCCATCATTTTAATTAAAAGCGTATTGACCATATACGCAAGAAACTGGAGGAAATGACTAGTATTAAATTTAACGTTTTACTAATATTGTAAGGAATGAGTATGAATTGTATTAGTCATGAATTCACAAAATTGATATGGAGGGTAATCTCTGATACCACAGTCTATTGGAAAAAAGTTACTAGACTACATATTGTTGGAAGATGTTTGTCCTGGCAACTTGACAAAGGATAATCTCAGTAAATAAACGGTAAACTGTGGTATAGTAATAATAATATATGATATTTTAAAGAAAATTATCTATGTATTTATAATCCTTTATATTATCAATCACACTCATTTAAATGTAACTAATCAATCTTATTGGTGATATTGCAGACATTGTCATAAACTTTTATTTTTAACTTATAAAATTATAAATATTCTCGTTGACTAGCTGATGCTGGAGCAGAATAGTTGAAGAAGCATTCTGTTTCTGTTTGAGTTTTAACTTTATCATAATCATCATCATCATCATCAACAGCCTATAACAGTCCACTGCTGGACATAGGCCTCTCCTTAGAATGGAGGTTTTGGCCTACTATACCACGCTGGCCAGACGGATTGATACAGGGTTTGTTTCAAGTTTTCCTTCTCTGTGCAGTGCTGTTATCGTGCATAGTTTTAAATTAATTAATTACTATTTCAAACAGACTAATAATAGTTGATATTTCGACTGACTTTAAACAGTTTCTTCTTTCTTATAAGAATTTTAGCACATACCAGCCTATTTCAAACACTAGCTCCTCACAGCTGTACAACAGTAGTTGGTTTAGATGTATACAGCTGTTATAAATTTGAGAACTAAGTTTTTCGAGCATTCGAATTTTGATCATTTTGAGTGTTGTATTTTATTTCATTGACTGGTATAACTGAAACCACCATTGTTTAAACTTTAGTACTGTGACAGGTCAAAATATTTACATGGCACCTATAGTTTCTGGAACCATCATTGTATAAACTTTAGTACAGTGACAGGTCAAAATATTTACATGGACCCTTATAGTTTTATATAACTGTTTAAGCATATTTTAAATTTTATATCACATACTAACTTCCGCCTGCAGATTTCAGTAACCATGTTCTTTTTTCTGCCCGGTTTATATAGCATAAGATTTTTTGCAACCTCTTAAACAATAATCGTTATATTTCAGTAAATTTACATAAAACCATCATGAACTATACATTTAAAACTTCCTCATGAATCACACAATCTATTGATGAAAACCATATAAAAGTTTGTTTGTTAGTTTTTGAATTTATTGCGTTCATACAGACAGACAGATGCGGCTGGAGGACTTCATTTTATAATTTGTAAATATTGATAACAAATTTTATGTTTGTGCATTTTTTAAACATATAAATGTTCAAGATCTCACAACACTTCTGTTTACCATATTGATTTGAAAATAATTTTCTTTACATATTAATCTATACATGTCAAAATGTTTAAGTTGCTTCGAAAACTCATAAAGTTCTGCACCGATTGAGGTCAAGTTTTGACACAATATACAAACCGCTTCAAAGATTGTTTTAAACTATATTTCACATCAGTTTTTTTTCCTCATTTGTCATCAATGCAATGGCAATGTGCCACAGGGAAGAGTGGGAGGTACAGACAGACAGTATATAGATAATTTAACTTAAAATAGAGGCTCCAGTATTTTATAGACACATGCCTCACATGTGTCTATAAAATTGTGGATATAATTAATATATTACTGTCCAGCAGTGGACTATTAAAGGCTGTTGATGATGATGATGATGTCTCATATCTACACACTACTACACACTAAATTTTACTTACTGATAATTTTATCATTCATTATTTCTTGCACATAAGCAAATGTTTACAGAAAGTTATACAGTTAATACTATGATTCTTAACACATTTGTAATAAAATCTAATATTTCCTGTCACTCTGCTAACATTTACTTCTAATGGCAGTTGTACAACTTATTCTGTACAATTTTTTTACCAGTAGTAAACTGGAATAGGCATTTTTTTCTCCAAATCACACAATGGAAAGTGACTACAAAAAACCACACTTTAGTTATGATTTCACTCTTATTAAATCTGTTTATTTATTATCATTTGGTAGACATGGCACATAAAAATACCTGGTCAATAATACAAAGTACCTGTGATTTTAATGCAATATTAGTATTGAAATAGAAAATAATTATTTACAAATGTATGAGTGAAAAAATGAGTTATTTACAATTCACACACATGTAAACATATAATAATATGCTTACCTGAATAACACACACATGTAAGACTGATCAGGTATTTCATTTGCTGTGTACATTATACTTTTATGAGTCTTTACAGGGGTTAAGTTTGTACTCATGAGTATGGTTAGGGGTTACCTAGCACTGCTCTCTCAAGGGCTACGATGATGTTTTATTTTCTCAATTGAATCAGCCTATATTTGTCATATACATAGAAATACCTCACTTCATAGTGATGAACTATAGTGTCAATATTAATAGGTATACTATACAAGTGTATGTATTGTAGCTTAAAAAGGTCATTGATTAATTACATGTCAATCAATCTATTTAGCAATAAGTATAAAACTATTTTAAAAATAAACTAGCAAAAACATCATAGAATAATGTTAAATGTAACACATTGCTGAAGAAGAATAATAAAGAAGATACATTTATTTTGTACCATTTTCTTTGTAATTTTTTTCTTCTAATGTTATTTAATGGCAAGTCTACACTGTATTAATCATTTTTGCTTGAATAATAAAAAGATTATATGTTTTATTCTACTTTCAGGTACCTTATAATGCTATTCTAGCTATCTACATTAGCTTTCTATACCTTCTTAGCACTTTAATCAACTTTATAAAATGTGGGCATATTCATTTTTTAACTATTGGCTTAAAATGTGCTCTATGCATTTGGCATGCAGAAAAATCAATAACTAACTGTTATGCAACATTAACAGAACAGATCTGAATGGATTGGTACACTATTATTTCTATTTCAAAACATGAAAAACAACTTGTATTCAATAACCCACTACTCCTCACAAAGGAATAAAGCAGTCTCAAACAAGAAGGTTCTTTTTTAAATTTCCAAAGAGTTAACACACAGAAGGTAGGTCTTGCATACTAATTATTTACTTAGTTATCTATATTTATCTGGATATTCACTTAGCTAGCCTGTTCTAAATCATCTAAATTGCAAATAATCCTTTTGAATGGATCCTCATTAAAATATTTTTGTGTGCTTTCAGTAACTACAGTGGACATTACAGTTAGTCACGACAAAAAGTATCTGTAGTTATTTTTTTATCTAACTATCGTAGGCAGGAGGGCATGACACAAAATGGCAACCAGCCTCACAATACAATATGCAAGTGCATTTACGATCGAATAAACAAAATATCATCATTTTGCTAGCGCTCGAGCAAGTCTTTGACACGTATTGCTCGGGATTAAGAGGTAAAAATTAAATTTAGATAACGAGCAGCCTAATAAGTCGAGGTAATATGGTTGCATCACACGTAATTTGCTTGAGATTTTACGATTAGTAAACTACACGGTTATCGTGTTTTATCCGACAAATTAAACGTTAAAACAAATAGTTGGTAACCTACAAAGTATTGAAACAAAGAAATATACTCACCGCTGGTGGTTTGATCTTGCAAATGCCCGACTTCTCGGCGATGGGTCGAATTTTGCTGATGTATGCCAGGGGGTCCAAGAACTCTTCTGGAGTCGGCTCAAACACTGGTGCCTCTGGAGGCGGAGTGAACGTAAAATTATCAGGTTTCATGGGGGACGCCGAGTCCCCCATGTTCACTTCGACATTAGCTTCGTCACATTTTCCCATTTTTGAGAAACACTATGCAGTTCACACAAATGCAACTATAAATAATACTTTAGCATCATCTAATGTTAAGGAATGAATAAAGCACGTCCACAAAGAAATAGTAGCATTGGAATTAGTCTTTCCATAAGGAATCACAACGAAATAATAAATGAAATGAGCACCAACAAATAACAGTGCTCATTTCATGTCCGCCATGCGAAATTGAACTTTCGAAACTGCGATGTTGCCAGTTGATAAATTAATTCAATGCGCACTTTGTTCCGCGATATGTGCATTTATGAAGAGTATTATGATTTTCAAAAAGTAATGCGGAAAGGGCATAAAGGACTTATGATAGGGATCAATAATTTAATTTGTTACAATTAAAGTATTAAAATTTATTATTTCAGGATTTTAGTGAAATCTAAACTGGTAGACCTTTGTAATGGTTTAAAATAAGTAAAACTCAACTCCCTTTAACTGATCTTTGCATCTTTGAAAACTTCCCATTATTATAATACTAAATCACTAAGTACAAGTTCCTCATTAGTATGGTATAGAAGCAAACTAGTCAGCTGATGGTACGTGACTGCCGTTGCCCATGGACACCTGCAATTCAAAAGTCAGAAGTGCGTTGCCACACTTGCCACTCTTTGAGCCCTCCCCCCCCCCCCTTTCAAAATTAGAGACAAGGTTGTTTGGGCTCCGGTAATATCTCTTGGAGAAAAGCAACGAAAGAACTGCTTAACATCGGTTTTCTGTGAGCATCACTCCTGCATTACGCAATAAAAGCTCTCACCTAGATTATTACATATACAACTTCTCAACATCAATCTTTGAACCGCGTGTCGGTAGTTTCCGCATTTTAGTACATAATAATAATATATAAATGACTGTGTACAAATGTATGTCCGTGTGGTGACGGATTAAGAATACAGAGTGTCACCACCCCTATTCATCACGTGGGTGTCGTAAGAACCGACTAAGGATGCAAACTACGCAGGACAACAGCACTTCAACGAGAAGGAAAACTTGAAACAAACCCTATACCAATCCATCTGGCCAGCGTGGAATAGTAGGCCAAAACCTCCTTTCTAAGGAGAGGCCTATGTCCAGCAGTTGACTAGTAAAGGCTGTGGATGGATGTACAAAAGTTGCATATATTTCTAAAAAACTCTGTCAAAGGCCGAATCCCTAACACATGATATTTTTTTCCTTGTGAAGTCTTTCAACAAACTCTGTAATCAATTCAATACATTTCTTGATGTCAGTGCAATACAATATCTACTACTTTCTACTAAGTTTATAGTGTTACCATAACAATATCCACCAGTAAAAGTAGTTTTTTTCTTGATTTGGAAAATTATTTCAGTAACTGAAAAGAGAATAAGCCTGTGTTACATTATTCCTATATTGATCAATATAATTTTTGGAAGCATAATTTTTCAATGAATTTTCAGTGTTGCAAACCTAAAATTTTATTTTGTGATTCTGAGCTCTCACTAGGTTCTTCGTAAACGCGCAGGACCGAGCGCAATCGATGAACACATCCGTCATCCGCCGCCATTTGCGAATGGCTGATCGCTGCTAAGCAGCGCGAGTGTCACCAGTTTTATTATGTCGAGTGTATAATTTGTTATTTTCGATAAAACTGTGAACTGAGTGTGACATTAAAATCAGTTATAATGATTGTGAGGTTTCTGAGCGTATTGTGCGTCGGAGTTTTGGCGACTTCGGTGTATAGCGCCGAAGGAAACAACGACAATGAAGGTATGTAATTTTTACGTGTGCATTATTTATTTTGTTATCATTTACCTATTTTACCGGCGTGAGTAAAGTTGTTATTTAGGGCGCATTTATTTTGGTTTGCAAGCCGAGTTATTTTTCATTCAGAAATATCGTAACGGTGTGTTCTAAATAGGAGTTGAGAGTTTTGTTTCTTTTTTTGAGTTATAAATTTATTTTTGAAATGATATGAGATTTCTAAGATGTTGAATGGGAAGCTGGTGGTGTGACGCGTTGGTACGATTTGTGGAAGGTATAAGGCGTTGCGGTGCGTGTAGGTGTTAGATACTGGACCGGCTTGACGACTTCTTGCATGCACAGTGCATACACACACACGCGCGCACTTTGCCTCGCACTACGTCGTGTGGACCGTGGGCGCGCGGCCTCTCCAACACTTTTTTGCAGTTGATTCATTCACTTTATTGAAGTCACTCATTGCTTTTATCAAACATTTATTTAGAACATCTATTACTGGCCTTTAGCTGTAATATGAGACCAGCCAGTGGTACTAATTATGTTTTTGACACACTATTACACACACATCAGGTAATTTTTCCGTATCACAAACGTCTGTTTTTTAGACAATTTTTTTTGTGACATAATCTTAGATTTGAATAAAGAGCCATCCAATTTTTCTTTAAATACTCTAGCACTTTCTTTTTAATATAAACTAATAATAAATTCTGACTCAAATATGTATTTCACAACTAATGTTCTTATTTTATCTTATTGCATTGTGGCAAACAAGTATTCATGTACCAAGTACAGTTTGTATATCTTGGTCTCATATCACTTAATGAAATTAGTATTGTATATGTTATATTACTATTAGTTATAGCATAATATTAAACATATCTTTATATACAACAGTATTAATTAAAATCAGCTAATACATGGTTCTAAAAAAACCACCTTCAGAGAACACATTTACTTAATTTTGAAATTAATTTCTCTTAAAAACTTAAAAAAAATAAGGGTCACCTTTATTTAAAATAACTAAAACAACAAAAGTACCTATATAGGTATTTTTAGATGGAAGGGTCAGCTTTGTATATACTTACTTGGATATTCAAAGCAAACCCTCCCATCATGTTAAACAAAAAGGAGAAAGGGAGTGTCCCAGTTTAGGAAATCCACCTATTCATAGTGTTTTAAAACTAAGAAAATGTAATGGTTACCTGTAATAGCCATGTAATTTAAACATTATGGTATGATGTGGATGTACATGGTAAAAAAATAATAAACTAATTATAAAGAAGATTAAACACAGGGTTGCATGATTAGGGTTAATAAATTTGTTGCTATGGTGACAATGAACACCATAACACACTGTAAGGTACCTACAGGCTGTTAACAGCTGTCCCATTTATGGTCAGTTACACTCATGGATTATAGGGTGAATATATTATTAATAACCTATGTTTTAATGTCATAGGGCTTCATGTTTAACCCCATATGTATGTTTATTTTGTCAGTTTTATTTGTTTAAGAGTGGGTGTTTCAAAGTCACTCAGTCAGTACACTATTGATTGTCAGAGATCCTCATAGCAAATGTTTTTTTAATGTATTTTGTGTACGATCGGCTCGATCCTTTGGCGTTACGTAGAGATGTGGCTTCACTCTGTATTCTCTATCGCATATATCATGGAGAGTGCTCCGAAGAATTGTTCGGAGTAATACCAGCCTCAAATTTCCGCCATCGTTTCACACGGCAAAATTTTCGTTCTCATTACCTGGATAGTTGGCGCTCCACTACTGTGCGCTTTTCGAGACACTTTTTGCCCCGCACAACCAATCTGTGGAACGGGTTATCGTCTTGGGTATTTCCGGACTGATACGACCTTCAAACCTTCAAGAAAAGAGCGTACTCCTTCCTAAAAGGCCGGCAATGCGTTTGTGACTCCTGAGTTGTAGACGTTCATGGGCGGCGATAGTCACTTTCCATCAGGTGACCCGTCTGCTCGTCTGCCCCTTTAAAAAAAAAAAACGGTGTATTTAGGTCTTATAATACATACAGGTATTAATATGCGAGAACATGAACCACGTAATAATACGTAGTACATCAGGATAGGGTCAAAAGGCCATAATGCGAATTGACATCTTCAAGGGATATTATTTCGTGCGCCGCTGTCAATAAGACAGCAATTCCTATCACAGGTTCCTGCGATGTCGCAAGATTTCGTTTTTTTGTGTGCTGACCCATAATCTTAATACAATTAGTTTCGTTTGTGCTTCATATATCCCTCCTCACTGCCCTTATAGCTCAAGTGACTTTATTCACTCACAAAAGTGACAGCTCCGTCGGCTCCAGCTCGTACCATATTAAAAAAATGCCCATTTTACCACCTTATAGCTGTCGTTAGGCGGTAGTCACTGGCGATCAAGTTAATCGTCTGGTTGTTCGTCCCTTGAATCATAGAAAAAAAAAAACGTCATAGAACGTCCACTACTAGACATAGTTAGCCCAATATCTGTCGTCTTTACATTTACAGTTCTACCGTTTTAAGATGTCAGGAAACTATTTTATTGGCTTAAGATATCTTGTAAAAGGTTCTACCAGCAAATAAGATAGGTTTATACTAGTATTTAAGCTAGGATTGACTGCACGGATGGCGTAATGGTTTAAGCGGTCGCCACGCCGCTTCCTATTACGCCGAGTGTTGTGGGTTCAAACCCCACATGGGACAACACTTTGTGTGATCCACAAATTGTTGTTCTGAGTCTGGGTGTACTTTGTGTCCGTTTCATGTATGTTTGTAAAGTCCCATGCGACACAGGATTTATGCCTAGTGCGGGAGTTTTTTTAAACAAAAAAAAGAAAAACAAAAAGGATTGGCAAATACTGCTGGTAGTACCTACACTCGTATCTATGTGTATGGAAAACAAGCTGTTGAGTATCTAAAAATAAATAAATAGGCCTTATTGACTTCCAAAAATGCCAGTTGGTAACAGACTACATCCACCGTCGACATGCGATCTTTATAAAGTCTGTGTGGACACAACATTGGCCTTGCCTACCTTGAAACCTACAAAAATATCGTTACATAAAAAAAAAATCCTTTCAAAACTGTGTGAATTTCGTTTATCTTTATTTAAACGTTAGCACATAATGAGTAACGCAAATATGTGAAAGATGTCATTCAACCATTTTAGTATGTCAATATTATTTATTGACATTTACAACTCCCAATGATTTCATGATCACCTTTAATTTTTGATGACGTCAGTTTTATTCC